ATATATATATATACATATATATATATATATATAAACACATATATATATATATATACATGTACAGTGTCTTGTGAAAGTATTCGGCCCCCTTGAACTTTTCAACCTTTTGCCACATTTCAGGCTTCAAACATAAAGATATAAAATTAAAAAATTTTTTGTGAAGAATCAACAACAAGTGGGACACAATCGTGAAGTGAAATGAAATTTATTGGATGTGTCAAACTTTTTTAGCAAATAAAAACTGAAAAGTGAGGCGTGCAATATTATCCGGACCCTTGCGTTAATACTTTGTAGCTCTGCCTTTTGCTGCAGTTCCAGCTGCAAGTCTCTTGGGGTTTGTCTCTATCAGTTTTGAACATGGAGATACTGAAGTTCTGCCCGTTCTTCTTTGTAAAACAGCTCGAGCTCAGTGAGGTTGGATGGAGAGCGTTTGTGAACAGCAGTCTTCAGCTCTTTCAACAGATTCTCGATTAGATTCAGGTCTGGACTTTGACTTGGCCATTCCAACACCTGGATACGTTTATTTGTGAACCATTCCATTGTAGATGTGGCTTTATGTTTTGGATCATTGTCTTGTTGGAAGATAAATCTCCATCCCAGTCTCAGGTCTCTTGCAGACTCAAACAGGTTTTCTTCCAGAATGGTCCTGTATTTGACCCCATCCATCTTCCCATCAATTCTGACCATCTTCCCTGTCCCTGCTGATGAAAAGCAGGCCCAAACCATGATGCTGCCACCACCATGTTTGACAGTGGGGATGGTGTGTTCAGGGTGATGAGCTGTGTTGCTTTTATGCCAAACATATCGTTTTGCATTGTGGCTAAACAGTTTGATTTTGGTTTCATGTGACCAGAGCACCTTCTTCCACATGTTTGGTGTGTCTCCCAGGTGCTTGTGACAAACTTTAAACAACACTTTTTATGAATATCTTTGAGAAATGTCTTTCTTCTTGCCACTCTTCCATAAAGGCCAGATTTGTGCAGTGTACGACTGATTGTTGTCCTATGGACACACTCTCCCACCTCAGCTGTAGATCTCTGCAGTTCATCCAGAGTGATCATGGGCCTCTTGGCTGCATCTCTGATCAGTCTTCTCCTTGTTCCAGATGAAAGTTTAGAGGGACGGACGGGTCTTGGTAGATTTGCAGTGGCCTGATACTCCTTCCATTTCAATATGATTGCTTGCACAGTGCTCCTTGGGATGTTTAAAGCTTGGGAAATCTTTTTGTATCCAAATCCATCTTTAAACTTCTCCACAACAGTATCTTGGACCTGCCTGGTGTGTTCCTTGGTCTTCATGATGCTCTCTGCGCTTTGAACAGAACCCTGAGACGATCACAGAGCAGGTGCGTTTATATGGAGACTTGATTACACACAGGTGGATTCTATTTATCATCATCAGTCATTTGGGACAACATTGGATCATTCATAGATCCTCACTGAACTTCTGGAGTGAGTTTGCTGCACTGAAAGTAAAGGGGCCCAATAATATTACACGCCCCACTTTTCAGTTTTTTATTTGTTCAAAAGGTTTGACACATCCCCCCACCCCCACACACACCTCCCCCAGACATCTCTCTTTTGGACCTGCAGCCTCCTCGACCCGACCTCAGAACTTCAGAACACGCGCTCACCTGATGCCACAGTGAGCATCAAGTTTCTCCACATGAGCAGACCAATGAGAGGACTGTTTGTTTCCAAGCCTTCAGGGACGACGTCAGAGAAGCATATTTAAGGCAGTAGGTACAAAATAATCATCCCACGAGTCAGTCAAACCCGGCGGATCTTCAGGACTGGGTGAAACTCCAAAATGAACACCTGGGCGCTTCTTCGCGCCGTTTTCTTCTCATTGTGTTTAACTTTACTCAAAGCACGAGCCGCACCAGGTGTGTCCTGCCTCAGGTCCACACTCACCGACGGTCAAACGCTCGTCTCGTTCCTGCGCGAGGACGCAGCCGGCGCGCGCCTTCTATACCTCACCAAGTGGGCAGAGGACGCGCGGCTCGTCGCGTGCGAGATAACCCATCATCCGAGTGTCACGGAAGGATACCGTCTTTCTTGCGACGGAAACGAAAGTCGGGGTGAAGAAGAACGGACACGGTTCAATATCAGCGCGCTGCTGTCTCTGGATGCTCCGTGCGCGCGACTGGAGTTTACGCAGCGCGCGACCAGAGTCGAGGAGAGCAGAGGTCGGAGGAAACGCTCCTGGATGTTTCCGGGCACCTTGTGGTGCGGCAGCGGGAGCAGGGCGGAGGGATACGAACAGTTGGGTGAGGATGTTGGACCGTCTGGCTCTTCTGTTTCCTTCAGACAGAAAACAGCTTCACGTGCATCACATCACACTGCGCATCTAATGAGCTGCAGACAAAATCATTTCCATGCACGTTTGGTCGTATGAACATTAGATTATTCTCTTTTTTTATTTGTTTCATCTTTGGCTTCTTTGCCCATTCATTTTAAATTCTGACCATTTTCAGATCAATGTTTTTACCTCTGGTTTCATTCACCAGTATTCAGGAAACATGACATCCATTGCTGTTGCTTTGCTCATGATATGTTGTGTTGTTTATTGGTCATATGCAGGTTAAGACGTCAACAATGCAATGGAATGTTCAGGATGAGAAGAACCGATTCGACTCGCTTAAAAACTAAAACAAACAAGAAACACTAAAGCATGCAGTAAGGGTACAAAATAAAGTACCAAAATGTGAAAAAGAAATATAATATGTACAAGATCCAAAAGACTAACAGCATGAATATAACGGTGCAAGTAAATTTGTATAAATAAGTATTTCAAAGGTAGTAATATAAACTTGAGTGCACGATATGCATGCAAATGATATCCATTTCTATCATTAGATTAGATGGCATCAATCAACTTAAACCACTCTTTGGATGAAATATTAGGAACCAGGTGAACTTTAAATGCTCTCAGATGATAAAATCATAAGACAGAAGGCATGTCTTTGGAAAATGTACTGTCAGTCGTTTTGTTGACACTCCTGGCTCCTCTGTCTCTTCATATAAGGATCATTGAGACAGGTGAAACTTCTAATTTAACTTTGGCCTTTTTTTTTTTTTTTTGTAATTCCTTGGCTTTGATTCAAGGGACGAACCAGTTTTGGTCTGTAGATTTTTAACTCGCGCTCTTGTGGTGCATATAGGCATGTTTGAGAGAGCAGACAGATGCTGCCGCGAACACGACCACTGCTCACACATCATCCCAGCTTTCACGGTGAATTATGGAGTCTTCAACCCCAACTTCTACACCGTCTCACACTGTGAGTGTGACCAAAGGTACGCCTCAGAATACATCCAGCAGACATCCGACCTCAAGTATTTGTTGCCTCCAGAGAAACTCCTGCAAGCAGTAAATCACATCCCCTGTGTTGCTCTGACTAATGTAAGGACAGATTTGCTTCGAGGTGGACGTTTTAAGTCATTTCTGGAATGATGCTATATGCTTAACGTCATCATTTAGCCAAAAACTGACTTAAGGAGAAAAACCCGAGGCAAATCTATTCATCTATGATTGATCAAAATAGCTTTGTTGCAGCTAGTTCATGAGTTAAGTTACTGCTGTTAAAATTGAACATGCTATTTTTGCATTTATGGGCTTTAATGTAGCATTTATCACTTGCAATGCTTATTTTCACTTTACATCTAATACTGTCAGGCACTTGTGGTCATCATTTTGTCTTGTGATAATACTTACACATTTCAGATATTGTAAACATTCAAATCAGCAATAAGTTGTTAACAGAAAAAGCAGCTTTCCAAATATTTTACCTTTCATTTGCACGAGTGGATCACAGTTTTTAACCTTCGCTTGCTCTCGTTCTGTCTCCCAGGTTTCGACAGTGCCTTCTGGGCATGAATGACAGCATTTCAAGTATGGTGGGCTACAGTTTCTTCAGCATCCTGAAGGTTCCCTGCTTCAAGCTAAAACAGCTGAAGCGGTGCACGCAGATGTACTGGTGGGGAATGTGAGTGAAAGGCATGCTTGCATTATTGCTTGAACTTTTCACTGTGTGATGTTGGGCAAAGCAGGCGAAGCCAGTATTTGTCTGTACAAAAATAAAATCGGTTATGTATGAAAGCAAGACACAAAGGTATGTTTTGCAGCTTTTTTATGTGGCAAAACATAAAAAAAAAATCAAGTTTGGCCAAATAAAAGGGATTATTTCACAACTAGAACATATAAACCTGCTCAGTTCATCAATTTATTACAGTTACAATCATCCAAAAATGCTTTTTTTTTAATAGCATTAGTGAACTCAAATGAATAAATAGACAAATAAATATTTATAAATCAAACAATTATGCACAACTCAAGTTATTGGGCATTCTGTGAATGCTATTTGTTGGGAATGACTCCCAGCTACAAATATGATCTCAGTATATGTAAGGTTCAGAGAGAAATAACAATTTTTATGTTTGCCAAGGCCAAATAGCTGTGGCAGACCATGAATCGGGTAATCAGTAGCACATCCAGTGATTACTTTGATGATAATGAATAAATAATTCAAAATACTCTGCACTGAATTAGGAAACTAGCTCAAGTTTCACTGCTTATAGAGGCCTGCCACAGAATCCAAAGCACATTTAGAGGATTTATATTAAAACAAAAAGGCATGCACACGGAAGTGAGGTTCACAACTTTGCCCTCAATTATGAGTGTTTTAAACTAGTTGTCATTTCTCAGTTGAATACACAAAGCACATCAGTACTGCGAAGGTATGCAAAAGTATTCACCCCTTTGGTATTTTTTTCTAATCTGGTGCCTTACAGCCTGAAATTTAAATGGATTTTCACTTTGATTGCAGTATTAGCAACCAATTTACACAAAACAGTCCAGATTAATGAAGTTAAACTGATAAAAACTCAACTGAAAAATGATGCATGCGTAAGTATTCACCCCCACAACATCAAAGCTTTGTTGAGTCATGTTTTACAGTCTTTACAGCAGGTTAGGTACGTCTCCACAAGCTTGGACCGTCCCGTCTCTAACCACTGGACTTTTTACCCATTTTTCGCAGCAAAACTGCTCCAGCTCCTTCAAGTTGGTTTGGTGTCGCTCGTGTAGCAATCTTTAAATCACGCCAAAGTTTGGGTGTGTTTTGCACGTGTTAAAAGCCTACTTTTCACATTCTAACGGGAGGTTGGCTTGAAACACAGCAGCTAAGGCTACCTATGGGACAGATCTGGTTGGCAGGCTGTAGACTGAGGAAGTCCTCTGGATGGGAGAAGAAATGTTTCTCCCTTAAAGAAACTTGTCCAGATGTCACGATTTAACCTTTTTTTGTTGTTATCTACCTGGATGATTGTGCTTACAACCTTTTTTCATACCAACGTCTATTAATTCAGTTAAGATCTGAGTCAATCCAGGACATTTTATTGTTTCTCCTTGAACTACTGTTGCTTTAGTTATGTGTCATTGTCCTGATAGAAAGCCAGTTTTCAGTATGCCTTCGGTAAATTGCTTAATTTGTTGCACTTCTTTAAACAATGGCTTTTTCTGGCCACTCCTGTGTGAAGCCCAGTTCTAGGCAGAGGTCCTTGGAGCAGATCCTCCCATCTCTACAGGAGAACAGCTCAGCTTGATCAGGCTTCTCTCTGTTGGTTGTTTCTTGAACTTCTTGCTCAGTCTGTGAGTTTTGGTGGATGACCCTCTCTTGACAGGCTTACTGTTGTAACATTTCCTAACAAAGAATTTATTGGTGCTTTGTGGGATGTTCATGCTCTGGGATATTTTTGTCTAAACCAACCCTGATCTGTAGATTTCCACAAAATTCTGACCTGTGTGGAGAGTTCCTGGTGTTCCTGCTTGGTGGTAGCTCTTACTACTCAGAGGTGTTGATTGGTGGTTGTTTTTTTTTTGTTGTTTTTTTTTTTGGGGGGGGGGGGGGGTGTCAGAATGGATGCATATTATTTGGCAGGTAGTTCCTACTCAGCTTAACTAATTGATTAACTTGTAGATGCAATAAGTGCCTTAGTGCTAAAGGAATAAATACACATGCACACATCAATTTTCAGTTTTATATTAGTTGAAGTATTTGAAACAATTGTTCACCATTAATCCGAAGTATTTTGTTTAAGTATATTCTCTATCACATTTCAATTTAATTTAAATTTTAGGTTGTAAGGCAACAACAATAACAACAACAACAACAAAAAAGCAATTTAAAGAGTACCAGGGAGGAGAATACTTTTGCAATTCATTATTAAAGCTGCAAACTCCCATCCCTTGCTTAGTTTTATTGTGCATTTTTACTCTCTCTAGGTGCAAAGTTGCCAAAAAGGCTCCATATGCAGTGTTCAAAAGCCCCCTGCCTTACAACAGCTCCGATGTTTCAGGCCAGTACCTGCAGACTGACGACAAGAGTTTAACAAACAGTGAAGAGCAGCGTTTCACTGACAGCCACATGTTAAACCATCGAAGGAAACCATCAAAAACTACACAGAGATGTGGTGTCAGAGACCCTAACAGAGGAGACACGTTTCACCACAGGACCAAAGGAAGAGGATGTAAAAGACACCGGCAGATATCTGGACCACGACCCTCACAAGTATCCACAACACCCAGGACACAAACCACGACTCGGTCCACAAACAGTCAAACTCAGGCACAAGTTAAAAAAAGAGTTGGAAAAAATAAAAGTATGAGAAACAGCCTTACACAGAAAAGCAACAACCTACAGAAAGAGCTGACAAGCTCTGCCCCTCAAACACCAACTACAACACCCTCACCTGTTCCACCATTAAAACCCCAACATCTACCAAAAACACTGGTTAAAGAAGGGACTAAAAGACTGAAAAGTAGAAATAAATTCTCAAAGCAACGTATCTGTTGTGGCTCTAACATACCTAAGAGGAATGACTCCTCTCAGTTTTACTGTAAAAACCGTCTCAAACAAGATACAGCATCAGATATGACAAGTTTTACTCTGGGAAAAACAAATACAAAAGCTTTAACGATCAACTGGATGAAAAATAAAGGAGCGCACGTTAAAAAGACAGGAAAATCCAACCAGGACACATCTGGAACTGTCTGGAGTACAGCTGTTTTTCCAACACCCATCGTAGCAAAACAAATGACAACAGCCTCTCTTTACAACGATGTAAAGTCACAGACGTGGCTGGGTTTACATCTGAACCATACAAGTCAGCAGGCTTCAGGTGGTACTGCAGCTGGAAGCGTCCAAGCAGGAAAACGACCACTACGTAATAACAAGCAGCGCAATGTGACAGGTGAGTTCTTAAAGCCTCTGAGGCTCTTCAGTATCCTGAAATGATTGCTGTTATACAAACTGCACTAGTAGAACAAGCCAAAATAATAAAAATCTGATCTGGGGTCACATCTGTTTCTGCACTTCCATTTTATTATTATTTTTTTTACATCCCACACTCAATTTGTTGGTAAATGCTTTGACAGCATTACCATATTTTTGGGCCTATAACGTGAGGTTTTTTGCATAATTTACATGTCCTGTGACTTACACACTGAAGCGACTTATTTGTGGATTTGTGTCATGTAATAGGTAAAAGTGGCTTTTAATGACACAATCAGCTTGCCATAGCTTGCCACCTTTGTCAAGCTTGCTTGGAGCAATCATCAAATCAGCTTCATTTTGCTGTGCCGCCCTGGCAAAATGAAGCCAATTCGACCATTGAAGTCCATTTATTAAGTGAACGTTCAACTGAGACACACCTTTGCTATAAAATCGAGCAAACAAATAATTGTTTTAAGTGCTTATCTTAAATTAATTAATTTAAGTTAAATTTTGAAGAAATGCGCAGCGTCCTCCTTCCGGATTTCCCCCCTCTGCGCGTTCCCGGAGCACCGAGGCAGCGAATACTTTTGAAATACAGCTGATTTGACTGTTAAAGTCCTTTTATTAAGTACAAGTTCAACTGAGACACACCTTTACTGTAAAGTCGACCAACAAATAATTGTATTTAAGTGGTTATCTTTTTAAATTTCGAAGAAATGCACAGCGACTCGTCCCTCTGCGCGCTTCTGCGAATCAGGTTTTGAAATGCAGCTGATTTGACCGTCAAATCTTTATTAAGTAAAAGTTAGACTGAGACACACTTTTGCTATAATTTCGATCAAACAAATAATTGTTTTTAGGTGGTTATCTTGTTAAATAACAAGAAATGCACTGCGAGTCCTCCTGTGCATGTGCCTACTTCCGCGTATCGGCTTTTGAAATGCAGCTGATTTGACAGTCAAAGTGCATTTATTAAGTAAAAAACTGAGACACTCCTTTGCTACAAAGTTGAGCAAACAAATAATTGTTTTTAAGTGTTAATCTTGCTAAATTCTTGTTAAAGTCCTCCCGTGCACGCTCCTGCAATCGACATTTGGTAGCCAATCGATTTTTGGCACACCGGCCCACATTTCTGGGTTGTCAGCGGTGATGCATAATAGATGCGACTCATATGGTGAAGCAACGTATTTATAGATTTTTCCACTTTATTAGACATATTTGGACTGATGTGACTAATAGGGCGGTGCAACGTGTACAGTGGAAAATACGGTAACTGAAGAGCTTGCTGACACTTGAGATTTTACTACTTCTGAGGGGATGATATTCTTAAAAATTAAACAGCTGTAGTAGGTACTCAGTTCCTCATATGATGAGCTGTGAGAAACTAGGGCTGAGAAAGTCGTATCATTTTCCATTTGCATGCCTGCAATCATTTTATGCTTTGGGGATTGTGAAAGTGTATTTTTCTTTCTTGCAATTATTGCACAAGATTTCCCCAGTATGTCCTGTTTAATAGGTTTCTGGCTTATTGGTATTCAATGTTTGTTAAGACAAATAGTAAAACCACAGTTTGGACAGTGGGAGCATGATAGTAGCATGAACATGACATTTTGTAGCTCATTTATGTAGATAAGCTGATAAACAATAGGCTCGTGAAATTACTGTTGGAACTACTTCTTAATTACATTCCTAGCTGAGCTGTGGATAAAAAGTAAAACAAACAACAACAACAACAACAAAAAAATCATAAAACGTTGGCTTTTAAGAGGTGGGCTGGAGCAAATGTCCTGTTTAGAGGTCATTTTAAAAGACTGTTCCCTGGAAGTACGTCAGGATGTTAATCTATTCTAGTAATTATTACTTAAGAGAAGTACATAAAAATAACAGCCTGTGTTTATTTTTTACACCTGCAGACAATCAGCTCCAGTGTCGAAGCCTCAAATATCTGGATGAATGCAAATTTAAAATCCCTCCTTCAGAGAAGAAATATAATCTACACAACATGGAGTCCAAGACTGCCTACCACTGTGACTGCATCAGACGGTAATCTGAAAATACTTCCAGCCTCTGTCAGTCTCTGTGTTGCATATTCCTTTGTTGTGACAACAGAAGACTTTTAATCCATAAAAAAACAAAAAAAACACTGAAGTGCAGGAAAGCTTTTATTTGCAGGAATGGTTTGAATTTAAATAATATCAAGCAAAGTGTACAAAACATTAAATATCAGGATCAAAATGTCTACTAAAATACAAATTAAACTTTTTTTTTGTTTATTTGTTCTTCACTCTGTCTCAATTTTCTCTGATATTTACACACA